TCTAACCCTGGGCTTAGTCATCCCAACTAACTTTGTTTCTTCTATTACCCGCCTCATGGCGTCTTCGATCGAGTTAACGAGAGATTTGGGTTCGCAACCTTCGGTCTCCAGTAGTCTTGTGGGTCTGGGGCTTAACAATTATTCTTGCCGTCTCTTGGGCAAGGGCAAACGACACGGTTTCGGCAAATGACGCTTTTGGTGACGCATATGTTGCACATTTAATCTCAGGGTCACGTATGCCATTCACAAACTTACATTGAGTGAACAATAACAACAACACATATACAGGCGAGGGAGTAACAAAGAAAGAGGAATTAAGCGATCATCAATGATGATGTTTAACAAGAATTGTACGTCAATAACAAAATAGAAAATGAAAGAGGAAATGGAAGGATGTAGAAAAATCTATACAGTAGTTGTTGTTGTGAAGTTATTCGAATAAACTGCGTAGTAGAAATTTACGTTACAATTCAAATTCTTAAATTAACGGAATTCATCTAAATTAACTTAAATCTAAAGTTATATTCGTAACAGTATATTTGAAAATAAAATTACTGTTAGAGTACAGGATTGAGACAGTGTTGAAAATTCGAACTCATAAGTACAAAAAGACCTAAATATGGTACAATTTGGATCTATGTTAACGGATAGGGCTGCAATTCTAAATTTTGCCATTAAAAATAGTTTTGGAGTGGGAAATTGAGAAGTTTTAGAAATTCGTACTAACGTCTACGAAATGTAATAAATGGTATTAAATTTGATACAATTTGGATGTAGGTGAACGGATAGAGTTGGTATCTTTAAATGTGTACTTAACGTTATTATTGGAGTGCATGACTGAGGTAGTTTTGGAAATTCGTACTTATGGGTACGAAAAGCAATTTACAATTTGGACTTGAGTGAACGGTTAGAACTTGAATTCTGAAAGTTGCCACTTATGTTACTGTGGGAGTGTAGGAAAAGTACAGAATGACACCAAATCTGGTACAATTTGGAGAACAGATTGATATTGCTTACGATTGCTATTTGAAAGCAGGTTTGGAATATTTAGATAGGTTTTGAATATGGGTACGAAAAGTACAAAATGGTACCAAATCTGGTATAATTTGTTTTTTAATGAACAGACAGAGCAGGAATTCTTAAATTTGGACTTACGATTATTATTTGAAAGCTGGATTGAGGTACATTTGGAAATTTGTACTTTTGAGTACGAAAAGTACTAAATTTGGTACAATTTGGACTTTGGTCGAATTAAGATTACTGTTAGAGTGTAGGATTGATGTAGTTTTAGAAATTCTTACTTAGGAGTATGAAAAGAAAGAGTTAGAGTTAGAAAGAAGTACCAAGGGGGTAACTGGAAGTAACTGGTACTAAATTTAGTGGTGGTAGTCTTAAAAATGCGTACTTATGTGTTCGAAAAGTGCAAAATGAAACTAAATGTGGAACATGTACGTATTTGCTAAAATCTGATCTATTTTTAATTTGTGTAATAAAATAAAAAAAGAGATTTCGGAAAATAGTGCTTATATATATGAAGAGTACTGAAAACATGATATTAGATGTAGGAATAGAGGTGGAATTCAGAACTATAGTACAACAAATCATACAGTATTCACGATTTCCATATGAAATATTTTTTTTGTATTCCCTTTCCGCATACGAAGTAGCGGGCACTTTGGTAGTGGTCTAATAGAAGATATCAAATAAAGGGTAGAACTTTTCTCGGGACTTTAATACAACTAAATTTTGTTAGAAATAAGTAACATGTTAGACTGGCCGAACAAGTAAATGAATTGGTCGGAACCTTTGCATGGAAGCTATGTCATTGTAATTTGTCTATCAGGACGTACTATTTCATCCTTTGAGAATACGAAATTACAAATTACACTCCCCAGTTGGATATGCTAAAGGCCCCAGTCTCCCTGGAACTTTAACGTAACGAAAATAAAATATGGGTCTCAGTTTAACATGGCATGATATTTAATGAAGAAGATCTTTTACCACCAAGAACCCAGAACGTTATAAAAAGGAGCGCTATATTGGAAATTTTGTATCAAACAGTGTTTAATTCACCATGAAATTGAAATACCAAAATTAATATAGGGTTGATACAATGTGTCCGAAAATTTGTTTCTACTAAAACAATTTTATGCATACAAATCATGGTATAATAATAGAAGGTAACAGCATGTGTTGTTGTACAAAAAACGATACAACAACCACATGGAAATTTGTTTTTGTAAGTTCTACTAGTGTCAACTCATTTGACAGAAAAATGTAAACAAATAAACAAATTATCATCAAATTATTTTTATTTTGAAAATGAAATATTTTCGAATCCTCAAAATAAAAATTGAAAAACATGAATGAAAATCTATCAAATTTATATTTCTATCGCTTCCACATGTTTCCTATAATTGAGCCATTGCCATATATATGTGTAACACATATGAAAATGCTGGGAATAGCGAGTTATTCCTTGAATAAAGATTTGCTTCCTCAAACTTTCCCAGCAGGCAGATTGAGTAAATTGAATACAGGAGCACATTTAATAAAGAACAATTTCAAATTGTATGCGTTCCCAATTTTCCTGTTGGGTGATTTTTAAAAACATAATTTGTCAAATTGATATTGACACTAGTATTACGTTGGAATCAAATCAGCTGGGATTTGCTGTTACCTTTTATAATTGTACCATGCATACAAATAATCAAATTCCGAAAGAAATCAGAATGTCAAATTACAGTCAATTCCCATAGTAAAGGAGTTTACGAGCATGAAAATGCATAAAATCGTGGGCACAATGTCAAAATATGAATATATATTGAAAATATTTGTGATTTTTTAACTTAATTGCCAAATTATAGCAATTTTGCTAAAAAATCACATAGAACCATCAAAATACCTAAAATTGGGAAGACCTTTTTCAATGTTAAAACATTGGATCTACAATCTTCTACGAAGAAGTTTTTTCTCAGCACGAATCTAGAATGCTAATACCGATCGATTTTCGGGGTGACGATTATTTTGCTTTTCGGAAGTACGATAGGTATTAAACCTTCCAGTTATTTACCCCTCAGGATTTTGGCAATTTTATATTAAATTTGTCATTCCGTTTGTAACACCTCGATATATTCACTGGAGACACCATAAAATGTATATACTCTCATTCAGAATCGGTTGAAATCGGAGGAAAACCCCCAATGTTTAAGATAGAGCTTTGAAAATTTGCACATTACATTGTTACTACTCCTAGGAAGTTTCGAATTGAAAATTAAATATATAGGCCCATATTACGTTATTTTAAGCATTTTTTCAACCGAAATGGGAATGGATATTTAGGGTTCACATTTGGTCTTTATGCCAAAAATAATCAATATTGGTCCCCTTTTTTGGATAGCTCCCAAATTTCGTTATCGTTTTCTGGTGGTTGTTGTATTTTGCTCTAATTAGTATTTGGATTCTCATTGGATAGAAAATCTACAAACCAAAAACTATGAGGAATAACACCCATCATTCGGTATTTTGGGCATGTTTTTCTGCCGAATTAGCTAATTTGAGCATATAAAAGTCCCGATCTTTTTTATGTATTTCGAATGTCCATTTTATAGTTGAGAGTGTAAAAAGTTCGTCCCGGTCGAATATTTTCTTTTTATAACAATTAAAAATAAATTTATTTTCATAATTCAACGATAGCCGAAAATACAGCTGTCAATTAACAAAACGTTCTTGATCTCATTTTCAATTTCCGAATGTATGAAAGTATAAACAATTGCAAAGATATTGGATATTAAATCTAAAATAGTAAATGTAAATTATTGATTGTTTTTGGGCTAAATTTATCCACGCTACAGAAACGTTTACTAACAGCTTTCTATAGCTGTCATAGTATTTGTTTTTATTAACTGAAACTGAAATACAAGAAATGTCTGTTTGTGCCGAAACACGCCAATTTTATTTGATGGTAGATGATATCATAGCCTAGCCAATACCAAATAACAATATAATTCGAATCAAATCAAAAAGTAAAATTTGGAGGAGGTGGGAAAGCGCACAACTTGTCTGTTTACTTTCCAGCAAGTCATTGGCCCAACAAATTAAAATTGGGACTATTGTATGTATTACTACATACTACTACATGAATTACTACAACATTTGTAAACAATGAAATTCTGTTTAGTATGGCAAAAAATTTTACATAAATTTAATTTTTTTAAATAAATTTTTAATGCTTTAATACATGACATAAGAATTTGTATAAACATTTTACGACATTTGAAAATAATTTGACGAATTCTATGAGGAAATGTCTTTTTACGATTCTAGTTTGAATACATATTATTATTATATTGAAGAAACTCCAAACGACCAGATTTACAATAATGTTGGCTACTCCTGGTTTAGGAACTACTTCCAGCTTATGTTCTAGTCCATTAACTTGGGCAAGCGTGGGCAATGATCTTAAGCCTTCAGTGTTCGCTTTAACGAATCAGAGCCGGTTAGTCCAGGACTCGGAGTGAAGCGATTTTATTGAAATTTGATTGAGCTTAGGTACTACTTATGAGAAGCAAGATCATCGTCTAGTATTGGTTGTGTAATAATGTAGTAGATTCAGAGATGTAGTTTTTAGTACTATTTACAAAATATTTACATAGTTAACCGTTAATTCAAATATTTAAATAAGAGTTGTATTTAAATGATTTATAAAATATATGTGTTTATTCTATAGCAAATAATATTTGAAAAAGCTGAGTTGATTCGCTTCAATATTATTTTATATGGAATGTAATATCTCATTTTTGTTGTTTTGACTTACTGTACGTTTTTATATGAATCACACATTTTGCGAACAATTTGAAAATCCTTTTGAATTTTCTTTAAAGTTTTTCGATATTTATTTTCTAATATATGAAAGAATTTAGAATCATTATTTAAATACATTGACATTTTCTAGTGGTATTTAAATGTAATAACATTTTTTCCATTCCTTCCCATTTCAGACATGGTAATATGCCTTATGATATTGGTGGCAGGCATTTCAATAATATGGAGTATTTCGATACACATAATATCGGCTGATTTCTATAATGGTTTTATTGGTGCCAAACTAGCATTTCGTGAAAGAGATTTCACGCAAATGGACAACAATGAAAAGGATCTCTTCTATCATGACTTGGGTAGAATTATCAATGAGACATATACCGAAGCGGCCTTAGATGATATAAAACCAGATGCCTTAGTGATGCCTAAACTGGAAGATGCAGATAAATGTGAATAAACTTTATATTTCAATATAAGAAAAATAATCCCAACATGTTGTTAATTTTTACAGTTGCCAATACAAAACCAAAAGTCCGCAAAATTGCCCATGTCTTTCAGACAAGCAATTCCAAAGTACCTGATACACCGTCAATAACAACCGATAACGAGGATGCTGATGATGAATCGAATGCACCCAATAAAGTGCCAAAAATTGTATTCAATGTGGAAAAAGATCGTAGATATTTAGCACACAGTAAGTAATCATTGCTATATATACATTATTTGACTGATTTTTTGTAATTTGTTTTTAGTGACAATTGATATTCATCAGACCCGCTGGCCACAAAACCTTGCTGTACAATATATCTATGGTTTTCCATTTCTATCAGAAATTGTGGCCATAGTATGGACTGCAATGTGTTTAATATTTCAGTCGGGTGTCAAAAAACAATGGTGAGTTCTGGGAGATTTTGATTTTATGTAAAAGATTATTTAAAACGATATATATGTATTACGCCGTTCCCTTGGCCGTCGTTATTATCTTTTTCGACTACATTTAAAAACGTACATTCCATATTAGCTAAGAACTAAGAATATTCTATTGTTCGAAATTTATTTCGATTTCCCCTTATAAATTAGAAAAATTTTGGAGTTATATGGATATTAAAGTCATCACAGCCAGAAAAACAAAATTCCTAACTCTATGAAATTCTGTCCTCTTATTCATGCAGGAGTTTGTGCTTATAACGATATTGTTCTTGGCCGTTAATATATTAACGGTTGAAACTAAGTTACATTAAAAATAAAGCATACTTTCAGGCGCAACATATATTTGTGTCATTGTAAAGCCCTCTTAAAATAATTGTGAGTTTATATTTTTATACCCTTCACTGTGGTGAATATACATAGTATAACTAACTGAGTCAATTTATGCATGTCCGTCCATCTGTCTGCCCATGTTAAATTGTAAACAAAGTATGGGTCACCCTTATGATCCGAACTGGATGAAACTTGGCACAGCTCATTTATTTGACCCAAGGACGAACCCTATTGAAATTGGAGAAAATCGGTTGAGATTTTGATATAGCTCCCATATATATTTTCGTCCGATTTAATGTAAATGGTTCATCAAAGTCCCTATATATCTTTCGATTTGGACGAAATTGTGCATAGCGTATGGAATTATGTTAAGAATGATGTGAGTTAATTTTCGTCCGATTTAATATATGTTTTTCATCAAAGTCCCTACATAACTTTCAATTTGCACGAATTTTGGTATAACGTACTTTTTAAAGTCTACAATGATGTGTGTTAGGTCTTGTGAAAATCGGCTCAGATTTAGATATAGTTCCCATATATATTTCCGTCCTATTTAATGTAAGTTGTTCATTAAAGTCCCCATATGTCTTTCGCTTTGTACGAAATTTGGCATAGCGTTCTGAGTTAAGTCTAGAATGATTTGTGTGAAGTTTCCTGAAAAATCGGTTCAGATTTAGATATAGCTCAAATATATATTTTCGTCCGATTTAATGTAAATGGTTCATTAAAGTCCCTATATGTCTTTCGATTTGGACGAAATTTTGCTTAGCGTACTGAATTAAGTTAAGAATGATATATGTTGAGTTTCGTGAAAATCGGTACAGATTATATATAGCTCCCATATATATTTTCGCCCGATTTAATGTAAATGGTGTACCAAAGTCCCCACATATCTTTCGATTTGCACGAAATTCGGTATATCGTACTCAATTTAGTCTAGAATGATGTGTGTTAAGTTTCCTGAAAATCGGTTCAGATTTTTATGTAAATTGTGTACTAAAAACCCAAAGTTTGTCGGGTTGGCACAAAATTTTGTATAATCTACTGAATTTAATATAAATTAATCTATACGAATGAAATGAAATTTAGCATAGGTTACAGAGATGCATGTGTATGGATTGGTGTTAGTCGGTTCACGTATATATAAAGGACACATACTTAAAATCTTTCAATTTCCCTCGAAGGAATAAATTTGCACGAATTTTGGTATAACGTACTTTTTAAAGTCTACAATGATGTGTGTTAGGTCTTGTGAAAATCGGTTCAGATTTAGATATAGTTCCCATATATATTTCCGTCCTATTTAATGTAAGTTGTTCATTAAAGTCCCCATATATCTTTCGCTTTGTACGAAATTTGGCATAGCGTTCTGAATTAAGTCTAGAATGATTTGTGTGAAGTTTCCTGAAAATCGGTTCAGATTAATTTATAGCTCAAATATATATTTTCGTCCGATTTAATGTAAATGGTTCATTAAAGTCCCTATATGTCTTTCGATTTGGACGGAATTGTGCATAGCGTACTGAATTAAGTTAAGAATGAGTTTCTTGAAAATCGGTTCAGATTAGATATAGCTCCCATATATATTTTCGCCCGATTTAATGTAAATGGTGTACCAAAGTCCCCACATATCTTTCGATTTGCACGAAATTGGGTATATCGTACTCAATTTAGTCTAGAATGATGTGTGTTAAGTTTCCGGTTCAGATATTTATGTAAATTGTGTACTAAAAACCCAAAGTTTGTCGGGTTGGCACATAATTTTGTATAATCTATTGAATTTAATATAAATTAATCTGTACGAATGAAATGAAATTTAGCATAGGTTACAGAGATGCATATGTATGGATTGGTGTTAGTCGGTTCACGTATATATAAAGGTCACATACTTCAAATCTTTCAATTTCCCTCGAAGGAATATAGATTGAATTGATGCTTATAAAAAATTATGGCTTTAAAAATAAATATACTTACATATTGTAAGTAAAATCGTGCATATTAATTTAAGATCAACACCTATTTTAAAATTATTTACGAAACTTACATAAGTATCCATAATTCTAAGAAAATTTTATTTTTTACTCTTTCAGGGGACTACCGAAACCGTGGCGCATCGTGGTTCCCTCAATAATAATGTTCACAATAATGACTGTAGCAAATCTAAGCTATTTGATATTAGCTAATGGCTTCGTAAAGACTTTTTGCAATGACTTAAGAGGCAATCTCAGTAAACCAGATGCCATAAGGTAACTAAGTTATCATGATTAAATATATTGAAACCCTTTTTCTAACATCCACTCTGTCTTTCCTTGCAGCTGTGGTGATGCCATGTCTGTTTTGAGACCCCTAATTCGACCACATGACCTATCTCATCAAGTGTACTTAATGCTGTTCAAGGGTTCATATATCGTAGCCATGATCCTTTGGATAATAGCACTATTGATTATGCTGTTACGATTCATATTGGCCATTGATTTTCAAATGGTCGATATCGAGACAAGCTTTGATCGTGAAATGCGTGAAGGTAATTTTAGAGAACGAGATTTTGTTGAAGTACTGCTAAGTTCACCACAACATTTGAAAACACCACAGTTGGGAACCAAAGATGAACGTCATCGCTCGGAAGACGATTTTCAGAGTGCAAAATCACACATAAGCGAGGCGGCAACACCTTTACTCGATAACTTGGCCACAAATGTACCTCTGACCATGGGTGAAAGAAGAACTTAATCGCTTACAATGAGCAGCATTTCTGTAAATCAATCTCATAGAATACACACTGCGATATGTAAATCTATTTTTTACTGAAATCTCAGGTATAAATGTTTCGACACTGCGATTATTAGTTATTATTTGTGTTTTGAATTCCAGTAATCCATAAACAAGTGGTATTCACATTTGGCCGTATAGGTCAATAGATTCCAATTAATATGTTCCATAAAGTGCCTCGAAATTGTTTTGTATTCAACAAAATAAGATTATTTTTTTCTAAAGATAACGAACTATGATTTTAATTACTATTTAAAAAACAGAAAATTATTTTATTTATAGTTTTTTATTTAAAAATAAAATTACATTTTTTTAATGTATGTATGTGTTTGTGCAACATATGTGAGTCTTTGTGTATATTTATCTTCATTCTTTCCTTTTTATATAGATATATAAATGTATGTATAACCACACGGTGTAACATTAATAAAAATACAATATTTTTACCAAAAATTGTTATTTTTTAATCTCAACCGTTCAACGGATTTAGTTTTGGGGAATGAATATACCATCTTACAACAATTTCATGGTAATTGTCTTAGTTTCCAAATAATTGTCCAAACCATCCTTTCCCAATTCACGACCAATGCCGGATTGTTTGAAACCGCCGAATGGGGTTTGTGGCAAAACAGCATCGTAGCAATTGATCCATACGGAACCGGCATCAACATTGTTGGCGAAATGCAGAGCCTTGTTGATGTCATTAGTAATGACACCAGCAGCCAGGCCATAATTGGTATTATTGGCACGATCGATCATTTCCTCGATGTTGCTGAATTTGATGATGGACTGAACGGGACCAAAGATCTGTGAATGAAATAAATACAAAAAATCGGTTATTATTGGAAATTTGACAAAGCTACAAAGGTGCTAATTTTTCAGTACAACAAAATCTCTTTTTCGAATGACCCCAGCTTAAGATTTTTGCAGTCTTTGCCACTACCTTAAGACGTAATATCTTGAATGAAGTAATGACTGCATGTCATTCAACCTCAACTGTAATTACATTTTTTATATTTGGACCATCTGGTTCTATATAGAGAAGCTCCTATGATAGAGGAAGTCATGGTTTACCAGTCAAAGATTTAGATTGTCAATAATATAGACGACAGAAAAGGACAAATGGAACATAACTGAATAGAATCTACTCTCTATTTTCTCCTCGTAAACTAGAGGTTGAAATGTTAAAATGTTGCATTCATCACAGGGCACTGGAATATTAAATTAACTAACATAAAACTATCCTATCCCTACGTTTTGTTACAAAATACATCGACTGTTCGGTATATATAATTTAACCGTTTTCTCTGAAATATGTTTCATAACTATATGCCGCATCTCGGAGTATGTTATTCAAAATAATCTACGTCTATTCTCACCTACTTCATAAAACCGAAATATCTGTGAGTAACCCACACGAGTTTATTAATTGTATCCGATCGGAAATTGTAATACTTTACTGTACCCCAAAATATTTAAAGTATCCAATCTCAACTTACTTCTTCTTGGGCAATTTTCATGTCATCAGTAACATCTGAAAATACTGTTGGTTCAATAAAGTAGCCAACATCTCCGATACGTTTGCCACCACATTGCAGTTTGGCACCTTGGGATTTGCCACTTTCAATGTAACCCAAGACTTTGGTCATCATTTCCTCATCAATTTGTGGTCCTTGGACAACATCCTTATCGAATGGATTGCCTACTTTACGAGTCTTAGCCTTGGCTACGGCCTTTGCAACAAATGCATCGTAGATCTTCTCATGAACATAGGTGCGGCTACCGGCACAGCAACATTGACCATGATTTGTGAAAATAGCTTCACTGGTAATGTCTACAGCCAAATCAACTGAAATAAAATAAATTTTATTTAAGAAAAATATACATAAACGAAAATTAATAGCAAAAACATACGGTCGGCATCATCGAATACCACCAATGGACTTTTACCGCCCAATTCCAATGATACGCGCTTAAGATTTGATTTAGCAGCAGCTGCCATAATAATGCGACCAACCTCAACGGAACCAGTAAATGCCACCTTCTTGATGTCAGGATGTTCAGAAATGGCAGCACCGGCGGTAGGACCAAAGCCGTTAATGATGTTAATAACACCTGCTGGGAAACCAGCCTCCTTGGCCAAAGCAGCCATATGTAGGGCAGACAATGGGGTTTGTTCGGCAGGCTTCATGACAATTGTACAACCAGCAGCCAATGCGGGACCCCATTTCCAGGACAACATTAAAATTGGATAATTCCAGGGAATAATTTGTCCAACGACACCAATTGGCTCTTTGCGGGTCATGGAAACCAACTCACCAGCAGGAATGGTATCACCAAAGAATTTGTCAGTCCAGCCAGCATAATATTTCAATGTGACAATGGCAGTCTCCACATCGAATAGGGCATCAGCATAAGTCTTGCCATTATCACGAGTTTCAATGTTAGCCAGGAAAATCTTGTCGCGTTCCATCAGATCGCATAGTCTGTAAATGTGATATGGATTTTGTATAATAAAATGTTATTAGAGGTCTTTTGAAAACATACTTGAGCATCAATTCGGTACGTTGCAAAGGACTCATTTTGCGCCATGGTGAATTTCTGTGGAATGCTTTCTTGGCAGCTTCTACAGCCAAATCAACATCGGCCTATAAAGAAGAACATTAAAAAAATCGTTTTAGGAGACAATTTAATTTCTATTAAGTAATTGTAAGATTTTACCTTATCGCCCTGAGCAACTTGAGCAATAACCTTACCAGTGGCAGGTTCTACAGTTGGGAAAGTTTTGCCCGATTTGGCATCAACAAATTCATTGTTAATGAAAAGCTAAAATATAAAAGAAAATAATTAAAATCTAATAGTTATGTAGGAATCTGAAATCTGAAAAAATTAAGAGCTTAAATAAATGGTACTATTTATTATTTAAATCCCAGTTCCAGTATTTTTTGTTTTTTTTTTTTTCATTTTATTGTAGTATTTTATTCTCTGACAAAAAAACAAATTAAGTATTTAAATCTTATATTTATTTCATTAACAATAATTAATTACACAGCCTGAGGTAGATAAAGTGCATATTTCTTGGGGGCCTTTTTTTATTAAGTTGATCCGGTGCAATGATTCAGAAGGATGCAACTTTGTTTTTCTTAATCCAATTAATTATGGTTCATTTAACATTATTTAACAACGATGTTCTATTAATATGATTTAATGTACTTAATCATAACTGAAATTCCGAAAGCAATTCAAACAAGGGCTAGACATTTTTACTCTTCATATTAGCACAGCGTTATTTCAAGCTTTCACTTTTTTGTCAATGTGAACAACAGTTCATCAGAAGTTTCTCGGTTGAATTGCATTCTGCATGCATGACAATAAAGATAATACTTGTACTGATTTGTATATGTCAACATTGAACAATTAATGTCAATTCATATTGTAGCAGTATTGCTTTATTAAGCGTTTGTTATGACAGATGGACGATATTATTTATAGTAGATTTCGATTATCACCTACACATGTTTAAGGATTTGTTTAAACAATTACCTTACCGTAATTGAATTCTAAATGGTAAAGTTATTACCGGCACGCATCCAAGTGATAATTTGTTAAATGTATGTCTGTCAGAAACACTTAAGAACAACTTAATGGAATAACACTACATAGTTGGATATTAATTTAATAAGAAATGTGTTACTTTGTATAAATTAAATTATTTATTTAAATTGACGTAAACGAAATTGCAGTCCAATTTCATAATTTTGCACAAGCCTATAATTTCAAAATTTTATTTCATATTGAACATTTCCCATTCGGTTCAAAACGTGCTTGAGACTTCAACCAAGCAATTTTCTTGGAAGTGCAAATTACAGACTAATCGCATTAAAATCAGCTACCCATCAGAAAAGGCAGAGGGGAACTCCGTTTATGTCAATTCTGTAATACTTCTGTTGATTTGCATGTATTCACATTAAACTATTAATTGTGATTATTTTTTAATGCATTTCACTCGCCAAGCGTTTTTTAATATGACATTATTGTAGTTGATTGAAATTGACACTTTCAACTGAAACTAAATTTGTTTAAACAATTCGTGGTAATAAGTAAACCGTGTAAGTCAACTGGTTAACATATTACATGCATATGCATGCATGCAGGTTGTAATTTGTTACAATTCGGTGCCAAAGTGTTAAGGGACTATTGAAAGAAATATAAATAATTATGGTTAAGGGGACCCCCCATCAAAAATTTTGTTGATTTAATTCGAATCTACACTAATTCAAGAACGTCCCTAGAAAATTTTAAGTGAAAATATCAAGAGCTCTTGAAGATATTGCCGATTTATTGTGTCAGCATCAAGTGACGGCTAAAGGGCTTCTCAAACTTTAAACGCGTTTTTCTCTTTTGCGAATGGCGGGCACGATAACTCAAAAACTAATAACCCAATCGATACCAAATTTTTACACGTTTCTCTGTGAGTGTATAGCTATCGTATGAACTAGGATAAAGCCAATCGGTAAAGATATTCCTTATTTTTTAACTTGGTTTTTGGTCAAAAATCGGCGATTTTCCAGAAATATTTTTTCAAAGGTCCGCCATTTTGATAATTTTAGAGCGAAGTCAATAATCGGATTCCGATGTTCCAGTGAGGAGTTATCATGCCCGCCATCAAAAATAAGGACTTCTCTTTAATTACAAAAAACAACAACAAAACAATTACAAAATTTTTTGTAAATTATTTTTCTTCTTCTTTAAATCTTCATATATATATGTGCAAAGTTGCAAACCTTAACAAGCATTGGTATTGATTTACTAGCCCATTGAAAATCTTGAAAAATTAACATCGAGAATGGGGGGGTTCCCTTAAATTGACTGACCAACCTACTACGTGCTCAATGTGTAAAAGCAATAGCTGCTACAACAACTGTATGATTATACCGGTTATATAATTTTTATAAAAATGT